CTGCACTGCTGCTGTGCGGACAATCATTGAAACGCCCGGTGAACTCAGGGTAGCACGATGCGTCCGCATTGGCTTCGTAGACTATGAGCCTGAACAATGCCGCGTTTTTTTGGGGGGGTCTATTTCAAAGGTCAACTGGCAAGAGGTTTGCCGCTCCAAAACAAACATGTTCAGATAAAAATGGAAATGCCGACTTTTTCCACTAATAAAGTGTTGATTTACCCACTACCAAAACCACAAGTTGAGGTGAAACGTCGCATTTAAAAAAAAAAAAACGCTACCCAATTCAATCAATTAAGACATGTCGTCTTAGATTTCAGCTTGCCATGCCAACTATGCTACTCCCACAAGTGACCAGTTGACGGCTGCTTAAGTTGAAAGACCAAGTCGCAAAACGTTACAGAAGATCATCAATCCCATCAAGGTTTCGAAGACCTGGTTCATCACAATCCGCGCCAGCCAAATACCTGGTAAACCGGAAGAGTGAACCGGAAAGATGATGACTTGATATTTCCCCAGATAGCGAAGCTATTGGCTTCTTACTTCAAGTATAACAAGAGTTGCATGTTTCCGTTTTGGAACTTGGTTGCTGGTGCTGCTGCAGGGGTGCCCCTGCAAAATCCCGCTGCAAGTTGCTGTTTGCGCTTTCGTGCTGCTGCAGGGTGCCGCTGCAAGAGTGCTGTTTGCGCTTTGAAGTTTCCTGCTTCAGGGGTGCTGATGCCGCTGCGCCGTTGCCAGGTGTTGCTGTCAGAGTCCTGTTTGGGTGCCACTGCAGGGTGCTGCTCTCAGAGTGCTGCGTCGGCTGGCTTTGGAGTTTGGCCATTGTGCCGCTGCAGGGTGCCGCTGCAGGGTGGTGGTGTCGGAGTGCTGCGCGCAATAAAAATATGCGCTGCCCATTATACCTTTTTCTTATCTGGTGTCTATGCTGGTGTAATTGTTGGTATGATTTCTTTTGAGCAATTGCTTTGGCCAAAACAATTCCATGGGCTGATGACGCAGCATCATACGTCATCCCACAATGTGTCGTGTCTTTGCAGCCCTGCTCCATTCAGTTGCCCCGGCCATGTTTCCTTCAGTTGGAATATCCCTGAAGGACCGAATCTACCAAAGCCAATTGGGTAGATTATGAACCTGTAGACATAACGCGGGTTTAATGAATGACACAAAAACAATACTATATGTAAAGTGCAATATGTTATTTCTAATTCATGCGTTCCTTTGATATAGAAAAATGAATAGTATGTAGCTTGGCATATCTACAATTTGAAACATGAGAAAAGTTTGATTGTATAAATAATATGTAATGAAAAAAAAAATATATATATATATATAATTATATGAATATGCCATGACATGAAATTCCACTGTGTAACCCCCAAACACATACCATCCACCTCCCAAAAATTGGTGCTTGTAACCACCAAGGAACGCTGCCAGGACCAAATCACATTGCCATCTTCATCCAGCCACGGTTTGATGCGCAAATGTCTGTAGCGCACAGACTCGTTCTGAATATTTTTCAAAGCATGTGCCAGGGCTGTCTTGCCCTCACCCTCCGCCTATGGCAACTGCATGATGGTTTGGTTGTGTTACAGCTTGGTATGGGTATGGGTTTCCGTATGGATATGGGTATAGGCTGGGGTATGAGCATGGTTATGAGCATAGGCATGAGTATGAATATAGATAAATATAAATATAAACATGAATATAAATATGAATATGAATATGGGTATGGGTATGGGTATAGTCATGCGTATGGGTGTAGGTATACGCGTATGGGTGTAGGTATGGGCGTGGATATAGGTATGGGATGGTATAGGTATGGGTATGTGACAGGCATGGGCACCTAAGTTTTGATAATTTTTGTCCCTAGGTTGTGTAATTTGTCGCTAGGTTTGGCATATTGTTGTCCCTGGGTTTGATTTGATTTTATGATAACCCGATATTTTGTGGATCAAATGGTTACATGTGTATTTCCCCCTTTCAAGATGTTGTCCCCTGGTTTTTGGTTTTTTCCCCCTAGGATTTTGGATTTCTTGTCCCTAGGATACTCGGGGCAAAAATTCACAATTCCAAAAATCCCAACTTGGAAAAAAAAAGATTTGGAAGACAAAAAATGATCAATTTGGGGAACAAAAATTAGCTAAACCTAGGGACAAAAATTACCCAAACCTGGAGACAATAATCGCAAAACAGCGTCTAAAGAGATAGCTGATAGCCAAAAACCGTAGTGAGAGACGTGCTAAGGTATAGGTATAGAACAAGGTAATAAAGGATACAGTTTTGGATTTGGGTACAAAATGACATTCCACATCCTGTCTACTCTGACAAATTGTTTTTATCCATCACTTGGATGGCGTGAGCCTCCAAGCTTCAAAATTTGACGGATGCACAATACAAACATATTCGCGACATGGACCGCCCAATGGAAATATGGGCGCACAATCGACAAGAAACAAAACATACAAATTCCCATCAATGAGTGCCAAAACAATGGTCTTAGCCGCACATTAAAATGTTTCAATTGCAGTCATCTTTGTGCCCACCTCATAAAATGCCTTCCGATCATGTCGAATATACCTTGCCTGGTCAGGTTGAACATGGGGAGCCGGAGCTGCAAGGAAGCGCATCTTGCCCAACCGTTTTTTAAAACTCATGCCGCTGGTGCCACTGGAAAAACTGGACCGTTTTGCTTCCATGTGCTGGCCAAAGCCGTGGCAGATGTTGCAAAGAAGTGCGGAGAAGATTGGGACTTTGGGCCAAAAAATATCTCAGCGCGGTTGCAATTTCATGTGTTTTACACATGTGTAAACCAGAAAAAAATCCACTTACACATGTGTAAACCCAAAAAATCCACTTACACATGTGTAAACCCAAAAAATCAACTTACACATGTGTAAACCCAAAAAAACCACTTACACATGTGTAAAAATGTGTCAAAATGTGATATGTTCTTGCAGTCATATACGCATTTTCTCTCAGGCTGTGGCCTCATGATCTTTCCAAGAGCCCAAACGGTTTTTACTTCGTATCCACCCTGTTGTCCAAACGAGTAATAACATATCAACAAAAAGACTCAGCGTCACAAAACTTTTCCCAATAGGCTTCTCATAGAGCCGCCTTCCGACAAAAAATATCAGAAATAAAAGAAAATTTTCAATTCGTTTCCAACCCAAACCTTGTTTTTTTTTTTCACGCGCCTTTTTGACCGCAGAAAATCCAGTACCCGACTGTATTTATACTGGCCAGTCTCCAGATGTGCATGGGCAGCAAACTGTTTTTATACTGGCCAGTCTCCAGATATGCAAAATCCACTTATGTACGGGGGTGGGGGGGAGAAGGCTGGTGGTGGGGTTGCCGTGGGGGTGTTGTGTGAGCAGGTCACCCAAAGGTGGCTCAGGGCCGTCAATGTTCGTGGTGGTGGAAGGGGGGAGGTGGAGGAGACTGCATGCGAAAGATCGCATGGCTGCCGCAGACAAGTGTGCCGCCCACCGCGAAATCCAAGCGTGGCGGGCAGCAGGCCGCAGGAGGATGGGGATGGATTGAATTTTGTGGCGAGACAGCAATCGCAGCAGTGTTGCTGCTTCAGTGCTCCACCTGCCCCCTAGTTCTATGGCCACCACAACTAGCCTGGCACGCCCTCCTCCCACCAGTTCTGGGTATGTCCTCTCTTTGGCCCTTCTCGCGATGCGGAGCGCGGCTCCTGCTGTGGTTTGTTGGTGACGCCGGGGCTCCGCTTGGGATGTGAGTGGCGAGACCAAAGTGGTATCGATGGCTAATTGAGACCCGTTCCACAAGGGGAGCCCGTTGGCGATGACCTCAATTCGCCGCTCATCTGTGCGTGAGCTGTGGGTGTTCAAGTCTCGTAGCAGGACGTTGGTGCAGACAGATGCGCCTGCTTCACGACAGATGCGGGCCATTGCCCGTTCCATAGCTACCCCCCTTGACCGCAGAGCTCCGGAGCGAGGGCATGCTGCCCGGTGGTCCCCCAATGGATCCAGCGAGCGTTGGCATCTGCATCTGGCTGGCATGTGTGGCAAGGGGAGCCGGAGTCGCCGCAACAACAAAACCCGGAAGTGGGCAGATTCAAACACAAGGTCAGGGGATGTTGGTAGCAACGTGAACGCTGTGGCTGCAAAGGGGCCGCTTTGTGAATCCAGTAGGGCTTGCGACGCTGGGTCCAAAGCCGATCGAACCGCAGTGCTGTAGGCTTGGTCAATGGCTGCGGAAGCGGCTTGCTGCCACCCTCTTAGCAAGTCTCGTGGTGCTTCTGGCAGTTGGACTGATGCTGGGGGTGGCGTTCTCTCTGGCCAGGGGGGGTGGCGAAGCCGATGTTGTTGAGGAAGGTTTGAACATGGGAGATGCACTGGATTGTTGGCAGGGTTGGGGCTGGTGCTTGCAAGTGGCGCTCCACCTCTTGGAATAGGTCTGGCGTTTTGCTGTGCAATGTGTTTGCTGTGTCTTGCCAAGATGCCCAAAAGGCGGCTGCTGTGTGGTGGTAAGCACTACGGAGGCCAAAACCACCAAGGCTGAGGGCGAGCCGTGCCCTATGTGCGCTGGTTTCTGGCAAGGCTGGGAGTTGCAGGAGCTGAGCCAGGCACTGCTGGATGCTTTGGTCGTGGGCAGCGGCAAAGTCTTGTGTGATGTCTGGACGCAGCCCGCGTAGGGCGTAGTGTGCACGAGGGGATGCACAGTAGAGAAGCAAGAGCCAACTGGTTTGGAGATCGGGGATGGTTGGGATGGCCTCAAGTAGGGGCTGCTGCTTGGCGTGTAACCTGGTTAGGTCTGCTTGGATGTACTCGTCCGTGCCAACGGGCAACCCGAGGACGCGGAGGCCTCGTTGGGCTCTGGGCTGGTCATGGCCCCCTACACAAACCGCCTCGGACTGCGACAAGGCTGTGATGCCTGGCGGGACTGTCCCGGAGGCGTTCCACACTTGTGTTTTGCCGTGGTGCAATTGTATGCCGGTCTGGTGTTGCAAGTGGTGGGCCAAGCGGTCGAACAGTTGTCTGATACGGTGTGGCAGGGCCGTGACATAAATGTCATCGAGGAATGCTGCTGCTCTTTCTCCTGGAAGCAAGTCGCGTTGGAAGGCGCGGAGGGTAAAGTCCAACCCCAAAGAGAAAAGGGCCGGCATCAGGGGATCCCCTTGTTCGCCCCCATCAGCTTCTGTGATGCGATGCACCTGGCCAGTGTCGTCCGTCCACAAATATGTGGAAGGTTGGCTGTAGAACTGGCGGACGAAAGGTAGCGCTGCTTGCGCGTTGGGTGTGTTGAGGAGCCCTTGCAGCATGGAAGCACGGCTGACATGGTCATATGCCCCGATCCCGTCTACCGAAAGAATGGTTTGGTCGGGGTCTAGCTCGGTGGTTAGCTGTAAGGTGTGGATGAGTGCTTCTGTGCCCGCTCGCGTGGACAACGCGTACTGGTAAGGGTGGCACTTGGCATCGAAGTCTTGGGCATAGTGTTGTGCCAGGCTGCGGGCCACCAATCTCCGCAGGAAGTCGCCGACTACCAAGCCTCGCACTCCTCCAGAAGGCTTTTGAAGGGCTATCAGCCGGCCCATGCCGATGGCGGCTGCTATGGAATTTAGTAGGTGGCATTGGCTAATCGGTGGCATGCCCGGTGAAAGGCTTCTGCGGCAGCTGGGTCATCTAAGAGGACTTTGGCGATTTCTGCGGTGAGACCGCTGGGGCCTGGTGCTGTGCCTTTTCTGGCTCTGGCAAGGTTGCGCAGGATGAGTTGCAGTGGTAGTTGCAGTGGTGTGTCTGGAGTGAAGCTGAGGATGTCACTGCCCAGTGGATGGCGTGGGTGTTGTGGTCTGGCCATGGGGTTGGTGAGTTCCCGAAAAGTGTCATCATTGCCTGGTGCAAGTGGCGCTGCTAGGAGTGCTTGTCGAGCCCGGGAAAGTTCGCCGAGGCGGGTGAGTTGGGTGGCTCGGCTGGCTCTTTGGTCTGGGGTTGGCTCGCTGGAGGCTGGTGGTGGTGGCTGTGCGCGTTGGCTTGGTGCTGTGCTGGCTGCGAGAAGGTCTCGCCAAGCGCCGTCGAAAAATTTGGTGAAACGTTCGAGCAACTGTGGTTTTGGAACTCGGGCCGTGTTGGCCGGGCGGTGGAGCAGCATCCGGGGGAGGAACAACCAAAGTTTCCAAGCCCTTTCATGGTCGAGACTGTTGTTGATGGGGGCTGAGTTGATGAGATCCAGCGTGAAATCAAAGCTCGCAATGGAGGAAGGTCGAGACTAGCGAATGCTTCCTGAAGGCGTCGCCCTTGGAGTGGCTGTTGGGTTCTGCCCTGGTCGTCTGGACGTTGGGCTGGTTGTGTGGGTGTGGGTTCTTGGTCTCTGGTTCGGGGGCTGGGGCAGACTGAAATTGAAGAGGCTGAACTTGCACTGGAACTGCTGGAAGAGCTGTTGCTGTCGCTGCTGCTGTCGGGGTCGGGGTGGGGCGGTGAAGGCGCCCGGTTTGCAAGAGTGCCGGTTGCGGTTGGCCTGGATGTTGTTGTTGGCCTGGATGTTGTTGTTGGTCTGGATGGTGTTGTGGGCCTGGGTGTTGTTGTTGGCCTGGATGGTGTTGTCAGCCTTGTGCCCGGGGTTGGCTGTGGTGTTGCGGTGACGGCTGGGGTGTGTTGGCCCCACTGCTGGGCGAGTGACGCTGCGGTAGATGCGAGGTGTTCCCCCAAGTAAGCTTGAAGCAATGTTTCCTGGGCCGTGGCGGGGACGTAGCCGTCGTCTTGCATAAATTGTTCCAACGCCCATGGAAGATGCACTTGTGCCCCTGCCGGCTGTTGGGCGCCGGCTGCGTGCAGGCGTGCTGGCAATGCTGACTCTGCCGGTGTGAGGTTGGCGGCATATTCTTGCAATGTGACTAAGATGTGGTGAAGTTGCTGCCATGGGATGGGATGGGCTCGTTGCAGTGCGGAGATGAGACGCTCCCAAATGTGACCTGCTGAAGGGTGATTTGCCCATTGTTGCAAAGTGTGTGGCGCGAGCCGGCCTGTGGCTGCCAAGAGCAATGGAACATAGAACCAGCTGTGGGTTGTGCCCGTGGGGCTGTTTGGTGGCCCTCGGTGGTGCCAGTTGTTTTGTGGCTGCTGAAGTCTGGGTGCTGCAGGCGTGGTTGGCCATGTGTGGGGCGGGGTTGCTGGCGGGGGTCCGTGGCATTGGTTTGGGACTTGCTGAGGCATGGCACTGGTGCAGGTCGCCCGAACGGGTCTGGCAAACCCATCCTCGTTCCTCCCGGGTCAGGTCGACAGCGAGGCCTCGAGGGCCGTGTTGTTCGCAGGCCGGTCTTTCTGGCAGTTGCTGCAACAAAGGATGGTCAAGAGTGATGGACCTGTTGCATCGCAAGCAGATCCATTCTGCTTCCCATGTGTCGTTGGCTTGGTTGTGGTTTGGCGCCCATTCCATCTGTCAGTCCGGGAGCTCACTCCAGGCATCGTCCCGGTCAGGGTGATTCGGATTTGCTAGGATGACCCGATGGCAGCACAACGGCAACACGTTTGTGGGGGCTGGTGGCGGGGCTGGTAGGGCTGGTCTGGTGTCCTTGTTCCCAAAAGCATCCTCGATGCTTGGGTTCTCATTTAGTTGTTTAACCGCGTGGGGCGCGAACTGCTTTGAACGGTGGTGTGCGGACGGTGTGAGTGCAAGGGAAAAGAAGGGAAAGGAAGGGAAAGGAAGGAAAAGGAAGGCTGCGGACGACGTGGGTGCAAGGGAGTGGGTGGAAATGGGTGCGGAGAAAAGCCGCTGG